AAACAGAAGTTTTTAACTCTGTCGTTTATTTCATTAATAAGCGACATATTTTCAATTAGTATTTTTTTACTGTAATTTACCCAAATTTGGTTTACTCCATCAAAATTAAGCCTTACTACTAATAAACCATAAAATTATTTTAACTTGCAAAATCACAGCTTAAGGCGCAAATCCTCACATATGAATTTTTCCATGTATTAAGACAGTAAAAAAAATTGTCTAAAAATCAATTTTATTTAAATGTGCTTTTTTTATGATTATAATTATGATATGTAAATATACTGATCATTATTTTTTATAGATATATCAATTGATCTATTTATTCAAAGTAAAAAAAATTAATAAAAATTAAAAGTGACAAATCTACTATTTCATTTTGGCCAAAAAGTGCGAATGAGGATATATCCTTAAACGACAAAATAATACAATATTTTAAAATCTTCCTCATTTTCTCGAATAAAATTTCTGTATTTCTATTTATGTAATTTTTATTTATTTTATGTTCCTTTATATTCGATCAACATTTCTAATAATCAACTAATTTGAATATGAGGAGTAATAATAATAAAGATCCTTCTTATTATATTAATAAATTAATAGATAATTTGTATTTTTATTTTGTACTAGATTATTTTTTTTAGCTTTTATGCAAAGGTGAGAATTTTTTACCATGATATGTTTTTTCTTTAATAAAAATTATCAACTCTCACTAATTTTATTTTGCTGATCAATACATAAACAGAACCCGAATATGATTTTTTAAGACGTTTTTCTTACAAGTTAAAGAGAAATATATTTATAATATATTTAGAAAAAAATCTTAAAATTAGCAAGATGTCGACAGTGGAAAACTTAAATTTGTATTCAGGATTTTATTATTGTAATACTTTTTTTAATAAAGTGCAATATAAATCAAAATACAATCAAACATTAATTTAGCCGGGTAATCATTTTTTATCTTATACCTTTAAAATATCATAAGACAATTTAAAAAAAAATGTTATGGTAATAATACAGTACATTTCGAAAACAACTGTCATTTTTGTAAAAGAATTAAAAACATTTTCTAAACTGTTTTTCTGCTTATACGCTGTGATTTATTAAGAATAATAACTCCCATTTTTTCATTACATAATGATTTTTTTATATTAAAATTTATTCAGACTAAAATTCAATTTAATTTTTGAACCATAATAAATTTTAAGAATACTATGAGAAGAAAATATTTATAAGAGTATATTTTAGGGGTAACTTTTGATATTTAAGTGGGAGCCAATAATTAGATATTATTTTTAAACGGAGTTAGGATTAAATAAAATTATATACGGATTTTAAGATTTTTAAATGGTGAAGGCATGTTAGTGGTTATCGACATTCTATTTATAACATAACGCACAGAGAAGAATTTTTCTGTTGTGCATTTTTCTTGATTTTAGCTAAAAATTATATTGTATAAAAAAGTTGTTAAAGAATTCGTTTTTTTTTATAGTAAACTTGTGTTTACAAGAATTGAGAACATTTTGGTTAATCTGTACCCAGATTAAATTTATTTAATCCGTTTCTAAATGAAATCAATCTGGATTACGGATTATTTTTAAAAAAATTATCGTATTGTTTTTTTTTTATTTTTAACAAAAAGTTTTATGCGCAAAAATTTAATTTAACTAACTCTTAGTTTTAGGCTTACTTTAAGTTTTAGAAAATATTTGTATTTTTATGAGTAATATTATACGGTGTTCGTAGTTCGATCACAGCAGTTATACAAATTTTAATCACTACGTGCATCGCTATGTTTCATTAACGTAATTAAGTGACTTTACGGTACTATTATACTATTTAAATTGAATGCNCGTAAGTGACGTTACGGTACTATTATGCTATTTAAATTGAATGCACCCTCTGCGTTTAATTATTTTTTATGATATTATTAATAAAAACGATAAAAAAAACATGGTATCTATTTCAAGTATGTTAAGTATGACAAAAAGAATAACTAAAAAAAAAGCTCTAATAGTTGTGATTTCATTATATAGCCAAGTTTATAAACTATAAACAAAATTTTAGTAAAAAATTACTGATAATACATTAACTTAGCATAGTGTCTTCAGTTGAAAATATAAAAATACTGTTAGGGGCTAGTTTAATACTTGAGGATCTTGGTCAAAACCAAAAATTTTAAGCTACGCAATTAAAAATTGCGCAAATATCGTCCCTATTTCCTTAAATGAGTTTTAATTACCTGAAGGAGACACAGGCAATCGTGTACCTTAGTTACAGGGGATAGAGACGATATTTGGGCAGACGTCGAGTAGCTTCCGATTCTTGGTTTTGACCAAGATCCTCAAGTATTAAACTAGCCCCTAACATATGGTAGAGGCGCCGGTCTTTGTATTTTNAACATATGGTAGATGCGCCGGTCTTTGTATTTTAGCCGAGTTCCGAGATATATTAACTATTTTTTAAGGCACTCATATACGAAGTCAATTCCCCTAAAGTATACACGATTACAGTCAGATTATTTAAGTAAAATTTTTTATTATTAATATTATAATTTTTTTTTTTTTGAATATCACTTGCTGTTTAGGCGTAATAATAATTTCTATCATTTTGGTTTTGTTTATAAGTGTATAATTTATAAAAATATGCCAAATTTTATCGAACTGTTATCATATTAGGGAGATGTGGATACAGATATAGATAAATACCTTAAGTATTTTGATCGTGTAGCAAAAGCGAATGAATGGGATGATAATAAAAAAATTTCTATGTTATCCTTATATTTACAGGATCATGCACTTAAAATATTTGAATTTATAGAATATCGATCGACCAATTTAACTGGCGAAAATGTTAAACTGTTATTAATTAATTTTAACTCTTACAATAATCTAAATTTAATAAGAAAAAATTTAATAATGATAAAAATGTTAATGATAAAAAATTTAANCGGGTAGTGAATCGGTTAAAAATGTTTGAGTAAAAGTAGTAGCAGAATTTCGCAGGTATCATGTCGGAAAAACATAGAGTATTTTTTTATAATACATAGTAACAAATGTTCTTACAATACACTATCAAATTTGTTCTGTATTGTGTACCTGAATGAAACCTGAATGAGTGTGATACTAATTAAGATCATTGGAGTAAAATACGTGATTTGGTGGTCCTACTCCAAAAAAATTGATCCTAAAATATTTAAATGAAAAAACAAAGATTCATTTGTAACGAATTGTATTTTTAGCTTCCTAAGTATTAATTGAAGTTTCTTAGTGAAGTTAAGCCATAATTAGAAATTTATTACATGAATGATATCTGTAGTTTAAAAACTTAGCTATAAGATGATATCATAGTTTTTAGAATTGTTTTTTTTAAATCTAATTAAAAATAGAATTACTGAAAGGATTTCAACAGACCCACATAGTAATGAAATATTTCTAGAATATTTTTAAATATTTTCCCAATATTCTTAGAATATACTTTAGTTGCGAATATTACATTCTCAAAATATATTAAAGGTATATTTCTAAAGTATTAAATGTCTCAATTTTTTATCAGTATATTTGTTAGACATTTATTAGGTTTGCTTAATTTGTTTTGCAAAAAACGAAAATAATAATAATTTAAACATATTGTTTTTATACTTTTTCCCGCGGAATCTGCAACTTCATTATGGCACTGTGGACATATAAACTGCGAGTTGTAAAGTACTTGTATTTCGGCACAAGTATTACCAATTTTATGAAGACAAGGAAATAAAACAACTGATGAAGCTTCTTCTTTGCAGGAATAACATAATCCATTATCATCTGCAATAAAACATTTGTACAATTAATATAATGAAAATATTTATAATAAGAAATAATGCAAATATAACAAAGCAGTGAATAAATGTTCGATTTAGATTGAAATTTTCTCTGATTTAATTAAACTAATTAAATTTAAATATATATTGTTCAAATAAAATAACCATTCAAGAAATTATACTTAAAGAGAATTTTAGGTTCAAAATTCAAGTAAAATACACACTAGAATTTTCGTATGTCACTATTGATTTTCCACATGATCGAACCAAACATTTTATGTCATTTTGATAATAAGCAATGGGAGCACATTTAGCACACAATCGGTGTAAACAGGGATTTATAAATACTACTGGTTTGTATTTGTAACAAACTTCACATTTTTCATCACAATCTAAGACAAAATATTTTATATAATTACTATGATCATTAATAATAATATAATTCACTAATAGCAAATACATTTATATTGCCAACACAGAAACAAGACAACACACTATTAGAATCATGAGGACCAACCTAATATATAATGCTAAATCAAAAAACACCAAAAATTATTTACTAATCAAATTTAATAAAAAAAATGCAAATTTAAATGTCTAGAATTAAGTCAGAAGTATATTTGTTAGCCGTTAAACATGGCGTGCATTTTCTTCTTATTATTATTTTTTAACACGTTTATATTAAATTCACATGTATGTTGTGTGTTGTATGTAACTCTCCACGCACCACGTGTTATTATCTCCCGTAGCCCATCGTCTATGGCCTTGAGACTAGACTGTTGTAACGCATTCACCCCACCCAGCTCAACACTCGTCAACGTCACTATTTTCCTGTATAATTTTTGGTTTTCGTACCTATACATGCGGGCGTATCATCAATATTATATATATATAAATACATTTTTATTGTTTATTATTAGATATAAACATTTAAAGATTAAAATTTTTTTGAGTTAATATACATGTATTATATATAAGGGATTAGAAATACAGGTAGCTAATTGGTTTTTATGACGATATTAGCAAGCATATAGCCTTTATTATCAATGGTAACAAGACACATTGTTGTGAGTTTATAAACACACTAACTGGCAATACAGAAATTATATCCATTGCTAGTGATAATTTTACATTAAACACTCCGTGACTGTAACAACGACGTAATAAAAAACTAAAAAGTGAAAAATAAATATAGTTTAAAAAAACTGAAACACACGCTCTTAAAGTATATCGAACTAAAAAGTTAAAAATAATTTTAAAAATAAGCTTAAAACAATAAGGAACGAAAAATACTAGTATTGTTGTGAAAAAAAGCGTGAGGGCTTTGTGCCATATTTTTCGTATATTGAGCGCCCGACGCTTTTTTTCACAATAATACTAGTATTTTTCGTTCATTACTGTTTTAAGCTAATTTTAAAAATTATTTTGAACTTTTTAGTTCGATATGTTTTAAAAGCGTGTTTTTCAGTTTTTTTTAACTATATTTATTATCAATGATAGTTATTAACTAAAATGATGTGAAAAATATACATATTTAAATAGTTTGTACTTTAAATATTATTTTTACAAAAATATTATATATATTTTTTTCAAATTATCTTACCTTGGCGAAATAAGGATGCCACATTTGAAACTGCTACGACTATTAAAAAAATCACAGCATATGAAAATGAATTTAAGTAAGACACCTACATTGTTCAGTTGGCAACGTCATGTTCCTCAGTACATAAGTACCAGGTTTTGCTTCCATTACGGTGGACTATGTAGGTATTTTTGTTTTCTCTACCACAATCATAGGTTTTAAGACGTTATATATAACCAAAATAGTAGTTATAATAATAATTATAAAAATTAATAATGCCGAAGTTGCAATGTACAAGATCAATAAAAAAAAACCAGCACAGGTGGGTCGCAGCACAGTGGTGCCGTGGTATAGTTGGATCAATTATATCAATTATATATGAATCAATGATATCTGACAGTGATTAAAATCACTATCAAAAATAAACGCTTCGATGGAAATCTTTAGATAGTGTTTAATAATAAAAAAATTGATGTATTATTCCAAAAGCTACACGATCTGCTATTTCCTTATTAATATCCTGATTAAGATAAAGTATGTAGAATGAAAAAGGGATTATTAAAAAATATTATTTCTCATAAAAAAATTGTGTTGATCCATACAGTTTTTAATAAGTTATAGCATTATAAAGTTAAAAATATAAAAAATAAAATCGAGAATTTTCACACGAAAATAACATTTGGTAGCCATTTTCACCGTAAAGACAAGCCCAGAGGTCAAATTTTTTTTTTCCATGATAAAGTATATTACATTAGCTTTAATTTAAGATATATATAAAAGTGTCAGACCTTCCGGAACATTTTCAAAAGTTAATTTTTTGTGAAAAAGTTGTCATTTTAAATCGCCCCCTGTGGGCAGATAAAGGGTCAAATTTACAAAAAATATATACCAAATGATAGGTTAAAATATTATGCATCTATTAAAAAAAATTATATTGATATGTTCATTTTGAAAAAGTTACGGCAGTTTTTAGTAAAAAAAATTGAAAAAATTAAAATAGTATACACTATTCCTTTAATTCCCTTATATTTACCTACAATAAATCATATATGACTTCGGTAATTAGAACTTCAAAATAATTGTTAAATACTTTGTATCTACACTTAAAGTAGTTCTTAGTAAGTAATTAGTGCTTTAAAATTATTATTAAATGCTTTGTATTTTAACACTTAAATCATATTCTGAAATTTTTATTTTTATTTGATGATTTGTGTTCGATAACATGCACTTAAATAAGTTAAACTTGTATTTTAAAAATCTTTATGGGAGTATCCACATATGTTAAAACTATTATGTACAGATATACATACAAGGATATATCTATCTATAAAATCAGCTACAGTTATGTAATAATAGTTTCAAAATTGGCTTGTTTACTTTACTGTTAGAAACAAAATTAAAATGTTCCTTGAAATCCGAAGTCGAACAATAAGATTTTACAGCTTGATTTATTAAGTATAGCCCTTAATACTTTACCCCTTATTTGTTCGTTAAATAATGATATATATGTATATATATATTATAAATGTATAGATTAAAATCAGGGGTAACTTTTGAAAGTTATTATTTTTTTACTGTAAAACGGAGGGTGATTTTCATAAAATTCTGATAGATTGATAATAGTATTATAATTTTGCTTTTTGAGTTGTTATAATTTTGATTTGTTGACAATTGTATCAAGCAACATAGAAGAATTTTTATCTCTGCGTTATGGTAAAAATAGAGCACTGCTAAACACTACTTTACTTTTCATGTTGTGATAAGTAAAGATGGGCAAGTTAATGGAAATAACTAACTCAAGTTAAGTTAAGTATTATCAATGTTGATAAATAATTTGTTAAAAATTAACAAATTATAAATATAACTAGCTAATTTAAAAAATAAGTTGAATTTTTTTTTTTAACTTAACTAATAAAAAAGTACATTTCATTTCAATTGATTTTTTAGTTAAAATCTCTTAAAGTTATTTTTTATTGGTCAGTGATGCAAGAGAAAATTAGTTATTAAAAAAAAAAATAGTTAAAAATAACATAGATTTTTAAAAAAAATTCAGAAAATTATATTTATTATTATAGATAATTTTTGAGATAGAGGAAAATTCGATTTTTTTAAAATTTATTCACATACACAAACATATATATATATAGATATAAAGACATACATTTTTTATGAAATTTTGAATTTAGTTTAACTGTTATTTTAAATAATTAACTGAGAATAGCTAAGTTATTTCAACGGAAAATTAAATTAGTTAAGTTGAAAAGTTAAAAAAAAAATAAACTTTTTAACTAGTTAATGCTAAATTTTGATTTTATATAATTAATAATAGTATTTTTATAAAATGAAACATTCATTTTTAAGGTTTTTTTTATAAAATACAACATCGTAATAGTAGTATAGAAAATTTAAAATACAAAATAAAAATTGAACTTTATGTAAAGTTACAATGATTAAAAACACTGGGGGTAAATTACTTTTCTCTAGTACCTTCAATGGCAAAAAGCACTCTGGTGTACTAATTACCAGCTTCAGAATCTTTTTCATTTAAACCAGATAACTGGCTAAGATGGAAAAGAAAGATTCGAAAGATTACGACAATCGTCAAGGCTTTAACAGCATGATGAACCAAGCCAGGTAAAGTCATTATTGTATATAATGGGAGAAAAAACAGAGGACAAGAAGAGGAAAATTATAAAATAGTGGTGAATAAATTTGTTAAACATTTTATACCCATAGAAAATGATATACAGGAGTTCAGTAAGTAAGGAAAAAGATCGACTGTTATAAACAATGACAAAAATAGACACCCGTTTCCTTATTTACGGAACGCTCTATATTTGAAAGATATAAGTTTTTTACTCGTTATCTGCAGAAGAACGAAAACAGTTGAAGAGTTTTTAACAGTAATAAACTCTTCAACCGTTTCGTTCTTAAGTATAAAGAAGTTATTTTTTTATAAGTGAGTGCTATGAATTTTTTAAATTTCATGATCAGATGTAAAGAAATCATATTGTGTGTATTATTAAAGATGAGCGATTGTCCAAAAGGTTACAGTTAGTCTATTTAACACATTTAAATAAAAATATTCAACAAAGGCTCTATCCAATACCCACATTAAATTATTGTCTAGAACCATTAAAAACTGCAACAGTCTATAGCGAGCTAGTTGCAAATACCATAAGACGAATATATAACCAAATAAATAAATAACTATTAGACGAAGAATCTATTCTTTTCACAGCTTTTATAACTCCATTTGGGAGGTTTCGCTTCAAAATATACTGCCATAAGCTATCAGTGGCGGCTCGTGGCTTGGACAATCGCACTCCCTACTAAAATTAATTAAAAGAAGAAAATTAATTGTATATTCTACATTTTTATCAAAAATGCAAATGTTTAAATAGTAAAATAGTTATAATAATTTTTGTCCTGTATGAACATTAAAGTTGTTCCCTCAGTATATACGGATACGCATTCGCACACGAGCAGTGTTTGGACGGTAAAATGTTAGTATATTACTATTTTGGTAATTTATTTTTAGAATTATCTACGTGTACGCTCTTCATATCGGTTGCTATAATATAAATAATCGCTATTATTGTTATTTTCATTTCTATTTTCTACTGCGACCTTAAAAATAATAATATGTGTGTGGTGTTTTATTTTAATATATTTAATATGACAATTTTTTATGCCTATGACTAACGGTATTATACTTAAAGTCGCACCCCCACCATCAGCACTTAAGAGCCGCCACTGTAAACCGTTATTACTTATTTTAAACCATAAAGAATTAAAAAGATTTAACACCTAAAATACAAAGAATGAAAACAAAAATAATGAGATATACATTATTGTTGTTTATAAACCAAGATAGAGTTAATTGTTGCAGACACATTATCAAGAAAATCATTGAAAACAGCTAACCAAGCAGATTTGAAAGAAGAAATTTCAATATAAGAAGGCCAAGTTACATCTCAAGTAGCATCAGGTCCTAAACTTAAATAAATAAGTAAAATGCAACAAGAAGATAAATAATTACAAATGATAGCTAGATATATTCATGACGAATGTCCAAATAGAAAGAAAATACCTATAGCACTCTTACCTTATTGGGACCGCAGATGGGAGATTTCTATTACCAAGAAAAATTTAATGTTGCTTGGATTAAGAATAATAATACCATAAAAATTCAAAAAGAAATATTAAATAAAATTCAATTTTATAGAAAGATATTTTAAATTTACTATTTTATAAAATTTACCCTATAGTTATCAATTATATTTTGTATTAAACTACTAGGCAGTATTTTAGTTATTAAAAAAATATTTTAAATATTACCTTGAAAACCTAAACAAAAACTGACAACAAAAATTGAGTGATTCAGCAAAGTCTAAAAATGTAATACTTTTTTTATATAAATTTATAAATTGTAAATTTGAAAAAAATTAGCATTCTTATATTTTTTGGCACATATAACTTTGATATATTCATTTTTCAAATATTTAGCTATTACTAAAAATTCTAACCATTTTTTGATTTTATATGTCTATTCACAGATTAGCCATTAACTTGTTCAACGATACATTAAACACTAACACCTTTAATTAGTTTTAGCAAATTTTATAGTAACTCAGTCATCTATATATTCACTAAAAGTTATTGTTGAAAAAATGTATGATACTATAGATTTCTTTTCAAAAATTAATAAAACTGTACAAATAAACTTATAGGTAAAATAAAATTATCTGTTATAATGTGCCGAATATTAATAATGTTTGTGCAAGCATAATTATGTATACATAGCAGTAGTAATATCAATGTATAAAGTTCTATATGATATATATAATAAACGTCAAGTATAATAAATATAATACAGGGAAAATTGTATAAAAAAATATACATATTATTTTGATTGTTGTTTTTAATAGTTAATTAAATCAATAACTCATATTAAAATTTATTAAAAATTATAATTTAAGGCACTAAGAAACACATATTAGAAATACAGGGTTATCAGTAATGGTATATTTTTTCAAAAGTTAAGACTGAAAACTTTAAAAAAATAAATCACCATAAATATAAGAGATATAGAGTTTCGGTTTTGAAAGGAATAACATATAGTACTAAATCAAGTATGGGCTACTAGTAAACCTTCGAATTATGTTCTTGTATCTTAGCCAGAATAGAAATTACCAGGTTTCCAATTACTAAGGAAAGAATGGAGTACTCTAAACCGCTTTAGGTGCGGTCACCTCATGTCGAAATGGAATTTAGCTGAGAATGCTCGGTGTGAGTGTGGAAACCCAAACCGGACAATGAGTCACATAACTGATGAATGTGCCATTTATTCATTTAATAAAGGGTTTAACGGTCTTCACAAATTGGAAGAAGGGGTTGTAGACTGGTTAAGTATCCTATCATTTGGAATTTAATGGTGCCAAATCAGAACAAAAGTGACCAATATACACTCATTTTTAGAATAATAATTATATAGTGCTGATGGGTACTAATACTTATTTACTGTTTTCCTCGTTATATAACTATTCTATAGTATATTTTATTAGCTTCGATGCGAAGCTCAGAAGGTATTGGTTTTACTATGATGTGTTTTTTTTTTTTGTATCTGTTTTCTCAGCTCTCACCGAACCGATTTCTTTCAATGATACGTCAAAAGATCACAAATCATATCTAGTCTAAGACATTATTATTTAAAAATTGAAAAAATTTCCCTCGATCCCCGTAAATGGGGGAAACCTCCAAAAAAATTACAAATTTAAAAATTGCTAATTTTTTCAATTTTTTTTTATTTATAACTGTCATAACTATTTTAAAATTGAACAAATCAATATAATTTTTTTTTAATAGATGCATAGTGTTTTAACCTATCATTTGGTATATTTTTTTTATAAATCTGATCCTAAACCTGCCCACGGGGGGGATTTTAAATGACAACTTTTTCACAAAAAATTAACTTTTTCAACTTAACTTTTGAAAATGTTCCGGAAAGTCTGACAGTTTTATGTATATCTTAAATTAAAGCTAATGTAATATACTTTATCATGGAAAAAAAAATTTTTAAATTAAACACTATCTAAAGATTTGCATGGAAGCGTTTTTTTTTGATAGTGATTTTAATCACTGTCAGATATCATTATACTTGATCCAACTATGCTACGTCACCACTGTGCTGCGACCCCCCTGTGCTGGGGTTTTTATTTTAATATTGTTTCCACATTTTTGAGATTCTATTTAATTGTTGCAAGTGTCTAGATGTTTTTGTATACTTGATAATTTTAATGCCATACGAATGTATATATTGTACTAAATTATGTGATCAGGTCCGTTTCTTTGGACTTGATAGTTATTACACTGTCATAGAAAAAAAGCAATATTTTGATAAATTTATATAATGAGATCAATTTTTTTTTCGCATTTTCGAGTGATTTTATTACATAATTGTACTATAATATGTGATAACACAGCTAGATATTAACATATCAAAAGTTAAAAATTAAATGTTATTTTTAGAGGGTTTATTATTGTATTGTTATTTTACCATTCGTTTATAACACTTTTTCTATAAATGTTATCTACTATAAAATAAATAAACGGTGTTTATGCAATATTATAGCATTATAAGGTGACTTAAAGTTTTAACCCAACATGTATGTATTAGTGCGTTTTTTGATTAATACATTTGTCGGAAAAAAAAATTATTAAAATACATATTTTTTAATGAAAATAACTTTAGTTGTTTTTTTTCAAATACTTGTTATTAAGTTAAAATAAATATTTGTTTTTTTTACTTAGCTTAACTTACTCTTTCTAAAATTAACCTGAGGATTAATAAAAATGTGTAAACTTATTCAGCTTGACTGAACACTTTAAACATATATTTTATTACAAAAATAATGAAATTGTCTATTATTTATTATCTATTTTTGATTTAAGTATTTTTGAACTTAAAAATAAAGCCACTTTATTGCAACAAAAAAATTATTCATATTTAAGTTAATAATAATTCTAAAAAATTACTTTAATAGGATATATTATTAAATAATTGAGCTACTAAAAATTGATCGATAAATGTAATTTACTAGTTTTTAAATGTGAAATTTAGAAATTAATAAAAAAAATTAGCTTTGTCTGCTTTTATACAACGATGTCATCCACAATCTCCTTTTTTTTTCAATTAATTGTTTGCACTGTAAGTACTCTTCACGCATAATTATGTATGAAGCACCAATAGTTATTTTAACTAACTTAAAATTAACTAGATAACCAAAAACTAAAAAATCTATATGTAACTATATCTTAACTAACAAAATTATTTCAAATAACTAAAACATCCATACAGAGCGTTAAATAACCAAATGATACACGACTTAAAATGTAAATGAATATTTTCTCATATAATTTTTTGGTATTTGATTCAGTCGTATGATATTGTTTATTAATTGTACAAGTGTACAAGTACTGGCATACTCGTCAAGTATACCACTTATGGGAACGCATTACTTGTTAATAGTTGGAAGACTTGGCTATTATGCAATTACTGTGACACGATTTACGTCGCAATAATGAAGTCGATGCTGGTTTTGATGGTAGAGATCCGTGTATCGTTTATTATCAATGAACAACAACAGATTATTTAAAAAAGCCGTAAAGACGTACGCAGTTAGTAGTAATATTCGTGTAATATCTTGGCACTGTCGCTGGCGTCGGCGTCTCGGTGTCCGGCATGATGGTCGGAAGTCAAAAGTTAGCAGCGTTGATGGCGACGGTGCGCTGGTTGTTGGTCCAGTATGTCTGGTCGTACGACACGTACGGAGCCGGTGGCGTCGTTCTCAATGTAGTCACTTAGACGACGTGAGAAGTATTCAACGTCTATTTGCGGTGGGTCGTCGTCGGCACTTACTGGACTTTGTACCGTGGCGTATGGCACGCGGTGTTGACCAGTCGAACTACCATAGTAGGGCGATTGATAACAAAGATGGTACCGATTGCGGGGCGCTGTGTATCACGAAATGAAGTGGGACTATATCAATTGGTGTACGTGACAAGTACACTAAATGTGGGAACTTCCCCAAACAAACGTTCAACAAAAGTTGCGGCAACCTTTTGTTTTGTATGCACTATGTTTTGCATTACACATCATATTTTACCAATGAAATGTTTATAATCTGTATTTTATACTAACTGTATGCAAACAAATGATTTATCTGTATTAGATACTAGATACTAGATCTAGTGTCTAGTATCTTGTATCTAGGATCTTGTATCTTGTATCTAGTATCTTGTATCTAGTATCTAGGATCTAGTATCTTGTATCTAGTATATTGTATCTTGTATCTAGTATCTAGTGTCTAGTATCTAGTATCTAGTGTCTAGTATCTAGTATCTTGTATCTAGTATCTTGTATTTTGTATCTTGTATCTAGTATCTTGTATCTTGTATCTTGTATCTAGTAACTTGTATCTAGTATCTTGTATCTAGTGTCTAGTATCTAGTATCTAGTATCTTGTATCTAGTATCTTGTATCTAGTGTCTAGTATCTTGTATCTAGTATCTAGTGTCTAGTATCTTGTATCTTGTATCTAGTATCTTGTATCAAGTGTCTAGTATCTTGTATCTTGTATCTTGTATCTAGTATCTAGGATCTTGTATCTTGTATCTTGTATCTTGTATCTTGTATCTTGTATCTTGTATCTTGTATCTTGTATCTAGTATCTAGTATCTTGTATCTAGTGTCTAGTATCTTGTATCTTGTATCTTGTATCTAGTATCTAGTATCTTGTATCTAGTGTCTAATATCATGTATCTAGTATCTAGTATCTTGTATCTTGTATCTTGTATCTTGTATCTAGTATCTTGTATCTAGTATCTTGTATCTAGTATCTTGTATTTTGTATCTAGTATCTAGTATCTTGTATCTAGGATCTTGTATCTTGTATCTAGTATCTTGTATCTAGTATCTAGTATCTTGTATCTTTTTACATTTGCTATGTTCTTAATCTATTCTAATACTAAACATTCATTATTTTGCTACATTTATTATCTTAATTCTACTGTACATTATTTCATCTTTTACAAATATACACTTTTGAGCCCTGCTCCCTGATCTTCTTAGGTTGTCTCACCAGACCGCCACCTTCGAGTCACGTACCCTGCCTCCGCCTTTCCTCGCACTCTTTTGTCACCAGTATGTTCTCCACGTATGTCCTTACCAGATCCCAATCCTGTCTGCTCCTCAGCATGANTTTTCTACTCCTCAGCATGATTCGAACCATGCTCTCCGGTGTGACTTGTGCATTCAGGTATGCTTCCAAAGTCATAAGCTCCCTACACCAGCGCCCACACTGGAAGAACGTGTGTTCTGCAGTGTCCAATTGGGCCTCACAGGACACGCACTTTGGACTGGTCACTCTCTTATACTTGTAGAGGTAGTTCTGAAAACATCCATGACCCGATAAGAACTGAGTCATGTGGAAATTAACCGCTCCGTGTTTACGTTCCACCCATTGCCTAACGTTCGGAATGATACGCCTCGTCCATGCACCAGATTGGATACAGAAGATACAAGATACAAGATACAAGATACAAGATGCTAGATACTAGATACAAGATACAAGATACAAGATTCAAAATACAAGATACTAGATACAAGATACAAGATACAAGATGCTAGATACTAGATACAAGATACAAGAAATAGCTAAATTTAATGGGTATAACGAAAACATAATTTTGAAATTAGTCCGAAAACAAAAGTGGAAAAAAGAAAGGAGGGCAGCTAGTACACTCTCCAGCGAGGGGGAACAAAAAGTAATTAGATCACCAATTTTATTTTATCCGGGCATCTCAAATGGATTAACTAAAATATTTAAGAATTTTGGTATTACTTTGGTAACATCTAAGAGTAATAATTTAAGAGATTTATTAGGTAACCCTAAAGATAAGGTAGATGAAGGGGGGAAATCAGGCATTTATAAAATACAATGTGAAAGTTGTAATAAATGTTACGTAGGACAAACAAAAAGAAATATAGGGGTCAGGTTTAAAGAGCACTTAAGAAATATTAAAAATCAAGAAATTGAGAAATCTCCAGTGGCTGAACATTTATTGACACATAATCACTCTATTAAAACCATAAAACTAATTAAAAACGTAAATAATTACAAAGAACTTAATATCAGAGAAGCAATAGAAATGTTTAAAAATAAAAACAATTTAATTAATTGGGATCTTGGCCCACTGAAAAATTCATTATTAAACTTGTGTAAACTGGCAAAATGTGATAATATTACTTAGTGATAACGTCACTAGGTGATAAGGTCACTAGGGGTATATAAGGGAGTTTTTTCTAGTCGGGGTGTCAGTATGTGTTTAGCGTTGATAATGGTAACATTGTTTCCGAAATACGTATCCGCGACTTTTCATTAATTTTTTTGTGGCTTTTGAGTTTAATATTTTTAATATTTTTTAGTTTTTTTAAATTAATAATATTTTTAATATAGTTTTAATTTTACTTACAAGATACAAGATACAAGATTCAAAATACAAGATACAAGATTCAAAATACAAGATACTAGATACAAGATACAAGATACTAGACACTAGATACTAGATACTAGATACTAGATACATGATATTAGATACTAGATACAAGATACAAGATACAAGATACAAGATACTAGATACAAGATACTAGATACAAGATACTAGATACAAGATACAAGACAATATATACTAGACACTAGATACTAGATACTTCACTTCTGTTGATGTGTTGATAGGTCTGTGCTGTTGGTTTTTTTTTAGTCTATGCTTGCCCTCCCTTACTGTTCGCCGTTCCTCAAAAATGGTACTGTAAGCTTTTTGTTAGTTGTTATCTGGGATTTTATTTTGATTTATATTGTTTACTTTTCAGCCTGTCAAACCTCGATTCCATAAGATATTGCCATTCGAAAGCTCCCTTCTACCATCTTAATATTGTGGCAACTAAAGTTGTGAAAAGAAATAATTATATATTTTTAGAAAATTGCGTGAATAATAAATAAAAAATCACGTAGTATTTTATAGTAAGTACAGACCATCGGTGCGAAAGAATTCAATTTTTTTGCTGAATATTGGGCCTTAAGTTGATAATTTTATTACTTATATATTTAGCACAAATTATACCTATTGTATGAAGGAGGCAAGGTTCTAAGACTACATGCCTATGTTCTTTTTTGTTTGGGCATCATTCTATTAACTCTAAATAATATATTAAATTAAAACATAACAAATTATTGTTAAATAAAGTGTTCAGTAAGTATTTAATGAGATCAATAGAATCCCGTTTCTTACTTAATGAACACTCTATATGTCTGTAATAAGGAATCTCCCAAAAAAAAATGGTTGTTTCTAACTAAATGCTGTATTTTAAATATTAACAAAATAATAGCATTAATATAAAAAAGCGAATCCTAAGTCTATAATGGCGGATGAAGAATCAAAACTAATAAAAAATATACCTATATATAAAAAAATATAAATAATATAATATATTATAAATCATAAAGGTTTGTATTTGTTATATTTATTTGACCATTATTCTTATGTGCTGAACAACCGATTTTCACCTTTCTAAGCACATTTTTATTTATTTATTTAAACACGTGTTATTCTCCTATATGTTATCTTACCTTATTTTGTATAATTCAATCATATATTTAATACATTATTATTTTTATTTTAACTGCAAACCAGCCCTCTAATTTTTTTCACTATGCAAGTGTTGCACTAATCGTAAAAATGAATAGAATTTAAAATATAGCTATTAATATTTTCAATAAAAAGTATACTTATAACATTTTTCTCAAGTTTATTATTTTCCAAGAAAAATAATGAAGTAGCTTAAAATTTTCCAGGGGTAGTTTTCAGATTTTTTTACTATCTTAAGAACTATTATAAATTCAAAAAAAATGTAAAGGACGAAATGTATAGAAAATTTATTTTCTATAAAATAGAATTTCACTCAAGTATATTATTTTATATAATAATTAGTCTCAATAATAGTTTTTTTTACATATATTAAATATGATTAATAATATAACTAAAAGTCCAAGACTAATTTTGTTTAAAATTAAAATCTCTTAAAAATGTTTTGTACATTTTTCAATTAAATACTGATGAATTTGTTTGTAATTTAAAATATAAAAATAATCATATTAAATAATAATTATTATTATTCTAATGACTATTTTAATATAAAAGTAATGAATAATGTATTTATGATAGTAAAAATGAATTTTCAATTATATGATTCTTTCAGGGTATCTTTACTACATCCAGGAAACTTTTTTCTATAATCTTGAACTACCTGAAAATATATCAAATTATAAATAATTAAATGAAAAATAAATATTCTATAACTAAAATAAAGGATTATTACTTGCAAAACAAATTGCTTTTGTTCTTCATTTTTCGTGAACTTTTCATTGAAATCCGTCATAAGTTTGACCCCTTGTTCTACCGTATCGTTGACTACTTTTATTGATTCTACCACTCTTTTTCCTTCAATGTATCCTTCATGTTCTTTCCATTTGTCTGGCTGATCTTTCAAAAAATCAGTAGACATATTAAATTTCTCAAATATGTTTTTCGAATTATTCCCTAAAATATCTAATGGTAATTTTTTGCTAAGAAAGTGTTGTAAATCTTCATATTTGAGGATGAACTTTTTTTGCGATTCTTTTTTAGGAGTACCATGCATAATTTTTTCAGCCATTTTTCTTCTTGTATCATTACTTAACCTTTTATCAAAAATTGAAAAAGCCGCACACTCTTCACTCAAGTACCACAAATGATTAATAAATTTCATAATTGCTTTTTCAGCGTCTTCTTTATCGTCATTTTTATAAAAATACAATTTTTTTAAAAACCCAATATCATTCATTGTGGACGTAGCAGCATTAGAACATAAAAACCACGATTCTACGTAACACTTTATAATAAAACAGCAGATTTGTTTTAAACATTTATCTTCGCGTTGAGTAATTTTAAACTGGTGTCGGAATAAAAATAGTTTTAAACGATGCAATGATTTGGCCATCCAACGTGCGAGATGACAAGCACCTGGTGTTTTAAAGTGTATATCTTTAGGTGGCACACCACCTAAAAATATTATTATTAGTTCAAGAAATTCTTTATAATCATCTCTAGGTAGTTCTTCTTCGAGTTTAATTTTACAAAATTGTATTATCTCATCAGCATTTCCCATTAAAATATTTTTTACATGTTCATCAGTAGTCCAAATTAAATAAGAATTTTTATCAATATTTGGTCATTTTTTTTTTTAAATTTTTAAACAAGGTAATTTTAGGTTCTGTACTTGTTGCTAATTTTACTTCAGTAAATATGCCTTGCAAAACTATTTCGTAAACATGGTGCCTACATGCTAAGAATAAAATATCTATCAAATTTTTGTTTTAGGAGGTGGCATGCGCCATTTAATCGGCTAGTTTTGCTCGCAGTTGTGTCAAATACAGAAGCAACGATTTTATTTAAAATAGACTATTCCTCTAAAGTTTCATAAATAGCAGAAGTTATTTCAATTCCTGTACCTGAATCTATCTAAGGAACTCCGAGCAATTGACTAACATTGTGTGCTATAATAATTATAGGAAGTCGATTAACTTTAGATGTTCCAGTTATATCTGGTAGTAATTTAGAATCCCAGTGAAGTACTAATGATTTTGTGTTTAAATGATCAAATTTGCACTTTAAATCTTGAAAAATATATTTACGAAATTTTTTTCTAGCAGATTTTATTGACGTTTTGTTAATAACATACACACGTGGATCGACGGAAATAGTATCTAAAACTGCTGTTAGTATGTGAACGCAATCTCTGTCGCCACTTTGAAAGGTTACAAATATAAGAAAATCAAACTAATTGGCCGCAACGAAAAATTTGTAACTTTCATGTCGTTTTACAAAATTATAAGAAAAGAGTCGCCAACCTACTGAACGTGACAGTGTATTGTCGGACCACAGTAGGATTTAAAAAAAATTAAGTTTTGTATATTAAAACAATTAGAAAAAATATATAATTAATAAATATTAAAGTTGATGTCCGTTGAGTCGTTGATAGTAGATGTACACCAAAACCTCGTGACAATTGTCACATAACCATATCAATGAGGGATGACCTTATACAAGGCCGTTGCCCGTACCTTATAAACTAGGGGAGTTGATTTTTGAAAGGAGAAAAAAAAATACACGAGTCCATTGAAGATGGAACACGCAAAAAAAAGAAAAATTTGATGGTTAAGTTAAATTAAGGGGACTTTATTAAGTAAAAAAAAAAAAACAAAAAAAAATTAAATTAACACGAGGCAAAAAACCGAATGGTCAAAAAACCTCGTTTACAAATTAAAGGGGACAAAGAAATAAAAAAAACAGATATTAATAAAAAAAAATACTAGTTACACCTACACTTTTATTGTTAGAGAATACGATGATAGTCTTCGGGTACCCGCCGGCTATTAATCGCAGCATTGCCGCTAAGGACGGCGGGTATACGTCCCAAGTAAGCGACTAGTTTTAGGCAGTTAGACTTAGCTTGCAAGACGTTGGGACACCCCGGAATAAAATGCACTACGTCACCCCATTGTACCAATAATATATACATATCACCCATAAAGTATAATATAAAACCTATTAAAAAAATCACAAAAAAATATGGATGTAACATGCCAGGTGGTCTTGTACACGCCTGCCATGTTACGGGACCTAAATAAAAAAAATAGGGGCTCCTACACAAAAAAAACTATATAAAAAAATATAAAAGAATTCGCCACACGTGCTTATGGTACGGCGCACTAAAAAAAAAACTGGCTCAAAAACATTAAATAAACATTATACATTACCCGCTCCGAAGGGCTAAAGAAACAGGAGGCAGGTTTAACCGACGCCGTGATAAACAAAAATTACATTTTTACATAGCGGGCGCTCACGAGAAAAACAAAATTATATTATAAGAAACACAAAAGTTGCAGCGCACACAACTAAATCTACCGCTACGGACGGGAAATAGTACGACCAGTTCAGACTATGGCTATTCCCCGAAAAAACGTCCGGCGTTTGACCCGGCGGTCCGTTGGCAACAACACGGCTAGCCTTTAGAGTAGAGGTCAAAAAAAAAAAAACTAAATACCCAGTGCCGGAAATTATTACGAAAAATTTAAATCATGAGGCGACAATGTATGCGGTGAGCAGTGCAAATGACGTTCAAGATAGGAAAGGAGCGGGGTGGATGTACACACAAATGCCGTCCATTAACCGGTCTGAAGTAGTACATAGCTGACTATCTCGCACGCGCATAAACAAATCACAACACCTTATCGTGATTATTTAACTGACAAACGCCGTCGCAGTCCGCTTCGGCTCAACACAAATATATATATACAAATAGATAAAAAAATAAATAGATACTTTTGTTACGTTACAATTTTACACTTGTCAAGTACAGCCGCTAAACGCTTAGACATTATTTCTTTCCTAGCTCTTTTTTTTTTTCATCAGAATCAGGTAAAATTTTTTCTTGGGTGTTCGATGTACTAGGAAGACAAGGATTTTGTAATTCTGACAGGTCATCAGAGTTTGAGGAATCTGACAAAGATGAATCAATTTCGGAACAATAAACTAAAATAAAAAATAAAAGTTATCATATCAAGGAAAACATTTTTATTTTATAACGTTATAAAATAGTATGTTTTTTTAATAAACGTTTCTTTTTAATAATAAATTATTATGCATCGGTAGAATTATATTATTCGTAAATAAAGTAATAAAAATAATGAAATATAAAATAAAAAAAAATATTAAGTCTATATGTCACTTTCGGAATTAAGGTGTGGTATTGATTCAATGTTAATAATACATCTTAAATTTAATTAAATTTATTAATTAAAAACTTTAAGTGATCTATTGCAATAAAAATGCAAAAATATAGTGAGATTTCTGATAAATTTATAGTAAATAGTAATTATATAAATTACATATTAATCTTAACAACATAGTTGTAAAAATACTTTTAAAATGTATTTTAAATAATATTCAAATATTTAAAAAAAAATGTATTTAAAATACTATTTGAATACTTTTCATACAAAAGTATTTGAGTAATACTCAATTACTTTACAAAAGTATTTCAAATACTAAGAATACAATTAAAAAATAATAATAATGTTTTTATTTTAACTAAGAGCAAAAGGTTCCACCTAAATAATTACCAAGAGGGTAATTTGAGTCAAATATTGAGTACTCTTAAATTAAGAGAACTCATTTATTATTTTCGATATTTTTTGTTAGAGGTAAATAAAATTAATTATTGGAGACTAATCAGTGAAAAAAATAAATATTAGTACACGTGTAAAAACCTGTAAAGTATGTCTTATTGACAATAGAGTAAATCATTTGAACCTGCAATAGGCTATTGTAGGTTCAACTGATGTATTAAAAATAGATGTATACATAATAGCATTTAGATAAGCACAATAATTATGTTATACTATAATGTAACATATAAAATAACAGAGAATTATTCTCAATTTTCATTTTGACTGAGTTTAATTTGCTTGCTGTGNAATCATTAATCATTCTAACATATATATTATTTTGATTTACTTAATAATTATAATAACATATATAAGGTGACTCCTTTAATACGGTTCCAAGTATAAAACATACAATAATTTTTTGTTTTCAGAAGTTATTAGTATTCTAAGTTTTATAATTTTCCAATAGAAATTTGGCCTTATACCCTCTCTAAGCATCTTAAAATAATGTCAGCTTCTATATTTTAAATTTAATCATACAAGATGTATCAGATCTAACTAACAGTTCTTATGACATTTGATACAATTAAAATTATGTTGTAATTTCATTTTCGTCATGACTCAAGTGCTAAGACATCTAATAATGCGACTGAATCAGTTGGATCATTTTTATGTTTATACGTATGTTAAACATATACGTTTCTAATTAAAAATGAATGTGGTGCAATTTTAAGGGGAAAGATCTTTAACATTCCCCTAATTACTAAAATAATGCCAATTTTTTTATTAAACTTTATATGGTAGAATACTGTGAACTTTTGGAAAGAAAAATTATAGTATATTTTAAATTCATTATGGTATTGCATGGGCCATTTTTACACAAACCTATTATATTTTATAATAAGTACACACCATCGTGACAGAATTCTTCAACTTTTACGCGGCATATTGGACACTTTGGATGATATTCACTTTTATTACTAATATAATCAGCACAGATTATACCTATTCTGTGAAGGCAAGGTTTTAGTACAACGTGTCGAAGTTCTTCTTTGCATGCACATCTTTCTATTAACTCTAAATGTTATATATAAGGTTAAAGTAAACTCTAAAATCATATTTATTTAGTTAATATANGAAGTAAACTCTAAAATAATATTTATTTAGTTTATATAATTATACTTAAATATCATTAGCGATGTAAACAGTATATCCCTCTAAATTACATTGAATATTTTTTTTTCCTTTAGGATTAGGTGATCTTCGTAAGAAATTGTAGTTAACGCATTGATTATTATATTAAAAATACCTATTCATATTGTTAAATCTATAAAAATGTCCTCTATAATTTTTATTGTTATAGTTCTTATAAACATTATTTTTAAAATTTTGGCTTAATTTGTTGTTTCTACATATATTAGTCCTATAATTCATTAGTCTACGCTAATTATGGATTGGATATATCATTAAACTCTGGTGATCTTCTACATAATTTATAATTCCATAATCATTGAATTTACCTTTTTGATTTTTTAANTCATTAAACTCTGGTAACCTTCTACTTAATTTATAATTCCATAATCATTGAACTTACCTTTATGATTTTTTAAAAGAGAATCTATTTTTATAAAAATTTCTGAATCGCTATTGTATTTTCTCAAATTTGTATTTTATTAAATTCCTAAAATATTAGGAGTGTAAACTAATTATTGTAGTTTTTGAAACTGATTTTTTTTTTTTAATGAAAAACTCAATAGTTTTTAGGAAAATTAGTGTCTTACCACATTTCAATTGCCTTATTGTCCAGATATTGATAAAATTCATTAAAATCGGACTTACATTGTTCTTTCTAATTTGGATGATAATCCATGATTGATTGCAATTTGAATTTAATATTTTTGAATTTTAAATTAATAATGTAGTATTAATTTTAAAACCAAAGTTATTGTTATTTTGTAAAGATAAATGATATTTTTTTAAATAATTACCTATATTTTTATAACGTAATATTGGTTCTCTGCATATTGGACATTTAGTACCATTTTTTAGTGATAGCTCGTTAGCACAATCATTACATATTTTATGATAGCAAGGACTTAATGTTACACTCAATGTTTTTTCTAATCGACAAATACAGCATGTTTGTTCTTTGTCTAATGTAAAATATTAATTTACAATTATATTTTATGTAAAAATAATAATAATCGTATGGCTAATGTTAAACAACGGATAAATTACAAATAAGTTCTAGTTCACCATTGAACTTCGTTTTTAAAAATTATAGAATCCAACATACATAGTCTAAGAATTATAATAAAATTATGGGGATTGTATGGGTCTGTTTGTTGATGAAATTGATCTCAAAGCATATTTAAAAGTCTTAAATTAAGTACTTATATTATATTAATATAAATTATTAGATTAGTTTATGTTTATGAGCCCAGATATTTTATCTTATAAAATTAACCTTTTGCATCGAAACTTTTTATTATGATTGTGATATTAATCACTGTCAAATATTATTTTATCTTGACCCATCTAGCCTTGCCACCCATGTACTTTGTTTTTTTATGTACTTTTAAAAATTCTAGCTAAAGAAATGATTACAATCTCATTGAAGCGTTTTATGATAGTGATGTTAATGTCAGGTATTTAATGTGTATATGAAAAATAGATGATCCCTTTTAGTAATAATTATTTTTGAATATTTTTTCTTAAAATTTTAGTGGAGGTAAACTTGAATAAATTAAATATTTAAAAGCTTACCATTTTCCAAAGTATGATCTTGAATTTGATTACAATTTTTTACTAGACACTTACTAGTTTTGTTTTTATTTATACAATTTTGTCCAACAAAATGGTTACAATGCTTCAATTTTTTTATAGAAAGTTCATCGTTGCAGTTTTGGCAAAAATTTTTCACGTCTTCTAAAATTAATATTACTTTATTTGTAATTAGTTATTTGTTGACGCGACTACTCAAACAACCACTCGCTAAGTTTAGTCTNAGTTATTTGTTGACGCGACTACTCAAACAACCACTCGCTAAGTTTAGTCTCATCTTTGTTGGTTATTTAAGTAATATATAATATTTAATAAGATTTAAATGTGATTTATAAATATATGAATGGATCATCTTTGTAACTATTAATGTTAATACAATAATTATGTATATTATAAAGAAGGATCCTTGTTATTTCCAAACAAAATGTTGAAATGATAAAATACAATTTCATTTAAAAAACTGAAATTATAATGAACTAACAAAAGTCAGAATAATCAATTTTTTTTTTACGGTACGTTTGTATTATATAAAACAATAAATTATTAAATATCGATCTTCTTAAAAATTTTAATTTGAAATTAATCAATAAAATAAATATATAAATCATTTTTTAAAGTAATATGTTTATTTAATGGAGAACTGAAATAAATTTTAAAAAATGTAAGTACATACAATGAAGGAGACGTCCAACTAACAACTCTTATAACGTTTGATTTCTCTGTAATTTTTTATTTTTTTTTTATAAAACTAGTAAAAAATAGCTAACAT